CAAATAAAAAATTTTACGTATCTTTTTTTTTGGCAGTTTAGCGTACCTACTAGTAAAATATGTTAATTCTATACTTTTGTTGATAAACGATTATGATATAATATTGTAAACTTATAAATCAATAATCAGAGGTAATTAATCATTATAATTTTATTCCCATTGATATCGCTAATCGTAAATGATGGCATAGATATAATACCTATACCTATACGGATGACGTTATCGCCCAACATCAAAATTATATAAGGAAGATAAAATTGTATTAGTCATAACTGACGGTTACACTCAATCAAAATGAAAAATGTTTTTATTTTGATAAGATATTACAATGCTTTTTTAACCCAGCTTTTTTTTTATACAACTTAGAATGGCAAACAAGCTGACGGCCTACCTGATGGAAAGTGGTAACCATCGCCTATAGACATGAGCAGTACCATGGACATAACAGAGTATACCTACTGTTTCGCCCATGATACCCCCCACGCGTTGCCATTCCTGAGGACTCAGATGTTATTCCTCTGTAGCCTGTAAATTCACGTCATATCCCATCCTTCAAACCGAAACACGCGAAGTAATTGTGTTTGCATGGCTATGCAAACGTAACTACTTCACGGTAGAAACACGAATGGGACAGAGGTACCCAAGCAATCGACTTTTGTACAAAGTCTCCCTCTGGTTTCACACTAGGTTTATTTTTAATGGATGATCACTCTACTGTGGCACCAATAAGGAGTTTGAGGAGAGTTAACTGTTTCTTTAATGCATGAAAATGGAATGGTAACCCCGCTTGCACTATCGGTATATGCTGACGGAGTACCAGTGAGGGATGATAGATAAGGATGAGGCAGGTCAGTAAGGTCATTGTGATCAATTTATCAAAAATTAACCACTATGGTTTCTAGCTGGCAATAACCCTGTCAGATCTCATTAATAACAATCCCTTTCCTTAATGAGAATGTTAGGTGACGATGAAGCTGGTCAGTTGGCCCATCTGTTTTCTAGGGGTAACCGCGTGATCAACCTAATCAGATATATTACTAGCAATGTAGTTGCTAATCCCCATTACTAACAATCTCTTCTCTCCCATATTAAGATGTCTTATATCGTGGGTAGCACGCTCTTTCTAATAACTAGCAAATCTGAACAAAATTATGAGAATTAACAATTCCGTTGCTAGCAATATACCCTATCAGGTCAACCTCCACGAGGCGCCCCCTGGAAACTAATGTGTTTGATTTATTGTCACGATATGCCAACTGACCTGCTTCATCCTCACCTATCATCTCTCACTGATGCTCCGCCAGTGTATACCGTTAGCGCAGGCGGGGTTTGAAAATTGCGTGTGTGCGTGCGTGCGTGTGTGTGTGCTTGCGTGCGTGCATGTGTCGTGTGTGTATATGCGTATGCGTATATCCTGGAGTGTATGTGTACCTATTGAACAAGCGTAATAATTATTAATAATAAAATAAAGTTCGGCATATAGTCTGCCACATAATCGACTATGATTAAAAATGAGTCAAATATGTTTTTTAGAACGAATGATATATATTGATCGTTTGTTCATATCAAAATAATCTTATCTCTTATCTAAGACTCATACCCGATAATTAGTCATGCATGCGTCTCGCCTTGCACATGAACGATATCGATTAATTTATCGATTGATAATCTAAACTACCATCATTGATAATCATTCATACGCAATTTTATTTATAAAGGCACGTCCCTAGTCACATTTTCACTATGTAGAAATCTTTCTTACACGTTTTCCAACAAACGAGTACGTGAGTTATCTAGCCAAATTAAAAAAAAAAAAGATAACTGGAGTATCTCCATACAGTGAAGTAAGAATACAATGTTGTGAATACTCCTTTCCCCAGGATATCGATACTCCTTTCATCAGGATATATAGATACTCCTTTCCTCAGGATATATATGCAACAATGAAATAAAGCATAATACAACAGAGCAAAGAAAATAATACTATATTAAAGAAAACTTACTTTAAATTTTCACATATTATGTTATGTAATTAACTAAATTAGCCGTGTGGTCCGAGCATAGAATGGCACACTCCTTCCTTTTCCCTAAATGTCTTAAGACGCAACTACAAAAACTTCATGGTCGAGGGATGGGCAGCAGTGCTCCTCTTAAAACATCTCCAAAGCATAATTGCAGTTGCCAACCCGCCTGCCAAACGTAGCAACGACTGGCAAAATCCCCTAAGGGAGAAGCCGATGTCATCATCATCATCATCATCATATAATCATAATGATCTTATGTAATAAAAAAATATGTTGAAAACTGTTTTTGTTTATCACTAGGTACTTTCAAAATTTTGGATTATCTTGACGCAAATAAAGAGTTTATCTTTGTATCTGTCAGTCTATCTACTAAGCCGGCTAGCATTATAACAGTACACTACACACACAGTATCCTTCTCTACAACGAATACAATAAAGTAAATTATATGTTGGCAAACGAGAAACTCGCCCTATTGAAGTGTCTTTTAAAAAAAATATTTATGTTAACTTGTTCTTTCGTGTTATTTTCCTAGCGCAGGGGTCGACAACATTTTGAGGCGGTAGAGTAAAAAATAAATATAATTTACAAAATTTTAAAGTTTTTAAAGAGCCACATAATTTTCCTTTGGCAACAATAAATAGCACTTGCATTAATAAAGTTTGGTGCCTAATCCTCGTTAATCGAGTCAAAACGATTTTTAGATTTTGTTTATAAAATAAATAAAAAGAAAAGCCAAGCTGTGAATCAGTTGTGGTTGCATAGCTGTGTTTCGGTTTGAAGGGTAGGACATGGCAGTGAGTCTACAGGGTACAGAGGAATAACACCTTAGTTCGCAGGAATAGCAACGCATGGGGGGTATCATGGACGAAACAATATATTCTGTTACGTCCATGGTACTGCTCATATCTCTAGGCGGCTGTTACCACTTTCTAACAGGTGGGCCGTCAGCTTGTTAGCCATTCTAATTCTTTCTAATTCAGCTTCACATCCAAAGAGTCGCATGTGGTTTTCGAGCCACAGGTTGCCAACCCCTGCTCTAGCGTATGCTTACTTATATATATAGTCATCAAAACAACTATTTATGCATAAGTTCTATTAGAAACTTTTCTCGTCAGAAAATAGTAAACTTTCACCTCATGTTATGAGTACATAGTAATATTCATAGATACCATCTGGTTATATCGGCCACTCTTATTGTGAGAGTTATTAGAGTCTATATTTGAATGAGATCATAAAAACAATAACATACAATCTTCAGATCCCATATGTGAGTGCAATATCTTTGTAGCGTGTATTCTTTGGAATGCTAGCAACAAAGGAATTGTGGGAAAGTGCTAGCGCCTTTCCGTCACAATGGGTGAACCATTGTGTCAGGAGGCGATTTCAGGCATGTGTTAGGGTTACCACACAGTTCTTTTATTTAATTTATACGATTTGTAATTGTACTAATAATATTAATGTACGATAAATAATAATAATGTACGATACTATAATTATGTATTCTTGTGCGTATACCTTTCGCCACCTCTGAACCAAATTTTGATAATTCAATAGAGTTTGACAATATAATAGGATTGATTGATATTTCAAAATAAAAAAAAAAAAATATCGTATTTTAATCTTTAATTAATTCAGTTATTTTTTTATGCAACTTAGAATGGCAAACAAGCTGTCGGCCCACTTGATGGAAAGTGGGAGTCTTGCCAGTAGTTGCCACGCTTAGCAGGCGTATTGGCAACCGCAGTTAGGCCTTAGAGATGTTTTAAGAAGGACGCTGCCACCCATCCCTCGCCCTTTCCTCCCCCACCCCCTTCTTATTCGCCTCTTTCGACACCTACGAGAAAAGAAGGAATAGTCTATTCTATGCAGAGATCACACGACGATATTACCATTATAATGCGTGTTTATTAAAAAAAAAACTTTTACTAAAAAGTAAAAAGACTATAATTTTTACTTTTACCTGAATAAGTAACTTAGATACGAGTATAATTATCACGAACTTCATATACAAATAATAAATAGACAACCCTAATGTAAAGTTTCACGGTATTTGAAGTAATAGTGACTTTAGCAAACGTGTCACGAACTCTAGTACTTACTGTTCCTAGCTATTTGTCATGTCAAATCGAAGTTCTAAATAGCAATTCAACGGATAATTTTACGTAAATCACGTGGCATACGCGTTACTAAATGTCAAAGTGGAATTCCAGAATTAGTTCCCCAGTTTCTCGTAATGATTTATCATTAACTAGTATGAAGGTGGAATTAGATTAGGCGAATTAATATTTGTTCTTTCCCTACAACTATAATTCTTGAAATGAAAAAGGATTATTAATTATTATAATTTCATTTGTAGTCTATGGGGTCTCACCACTACGCAAAGGCGTATATCAACCGCTGTCTTTGTGTACTTTTAAATGTATATTCTGTTATGACATCAAGACATAAGCGGGGAGAAGAGATTATCACCACCGCGGACTAGTGGGCCCCATTGCTAGCGATATTCGTCCCTAGAAACCATAAATAAATCAGAGCCACACATTGTCATAGATCATCTGGTCCTCAAGCTAGGACACATTGAATTTTGAGGAACTAAGAAACAAATATGGGGGGGACACAACCTAGAACAATCAGCAAAAAGACATGGCTACCATTGCGCTGCGCAAGGTGGAGGGGAGGGTTGTTAGTAATGCGGACTACTAGTACCATTGCTAGCATTACACCATGTGAACTCGACCTCCACGTGGTCCTCCCTGAATACTATCGTGCTAAATTCTAGGTGTATTCATTACAGTGGATTAACTGAGCTGCCTTTTCATTCTCAGCTATCATGCCCCACTGGTACACCGTCAGCGTATACCGTTAGCGCAGACGAGGCTACCATTCCATTTTCATTATATTAAAAAAAAAAACACCAAACAGCGCGGGTATAGTTACCGTTCTCTTTTCATCTACGTAACAAATACACTACCAACCTCCTGATTACATTGCGAGCAGAATTCGTGCCTGCAGGTCGGACAGTGCGCTGGACTGGCGGCGCGCACAGTCACCACCGTGTCGCATCCCACCCGGGGGCAGAACGCGCGTCCCGAATCCATCGCCACCTCTGCAAAGATATGAAAGATTAAGACACCGAATTCCTTTTCAAATAATACCTCTGTCCCATTCATTATTGTTGAACTTCAACTATAAAGAAGTTGTGTATGCAATACAGTATCTGTAATTTCACAACTATACTGTAATTTCACAACTATACTGTAATTTCACAACCATACTATAATTTTACAACAAAAAGGTTGTGAAATTGCCATATACAGAGACATATTACCCTAATCTTTAGGAGTGACGACACTAAGGCGCATTAGAAGCATGGTGCAATATGACATAGCAGCATACACTGTCTTGTCTGCTGTGTGGTCCCGGCATAGAATGGGTCACTCCTTCCTTTCTCTTAGGTGTCGAAAGAGGCGACTAAGAGAACTTAATAGACGAAGAATGGGAAACAGCATTCCTCTTAAAACATCACCAAAGCCTAACTGCGGCTGCCAACCCGCCTGTCAAGACTGGAAAAACCCCTTTATGGTGGAAGTCTATGTTCAGCAGTGGACAGTCAACGGATGTTGTGATGATGAATACACTTTGTGATATCCATGTCTATATGTGACGGTTACATTCAAGTGTTTCAGGTTATCAGGCGAGCCGTCAGCTTGTTTGCCATTTCAAGTTCCATTAACTAAACACATTTATAATGGAGGAAGACGAGGAATCAGATCAGCCTGAAAAAGAGGTAAAGTACCAGAAGCTATAGAGTGATTTAAAAGAAATAAACGAATGAACAGACGGACACGGAGACCAACTTTGTTTAATACTGTTTAAAGATATTATATAATGGCTAAGGTGCTTATAAATTCTTAACAATAACAGTAACTTGATCAATTTAATATTAACGTCAGCAATATAAACAAAGACATTAAATATGTATTACTGAGATGCATTATGCATTATTTCAACGTAGAATCTATAAAATGAATACATTGTCAGTTTATAATAGGAACTACATTGTTCGTAAGTAAATAATACAGGAGTATGAATTCTTAAACATCATCACATCATCATATCAGCCTTTAACTGTCCACTGAACATAAACCTCCCCATTAGGGGGTTTTGCCAGTAGTTGCCACGCTTAGCAGGCGGATTGGCAACCGTAGTTAGGCTATGGAAAAGTTTTAAGAGTGACGCTGCTGCCTACCCTTACGACACCCAAGGGAATGGAAGGGACCACCTATTCTATGCCGGGACCACACGATACCTACATTTTTAAATTACGGTGATGTTTATGTCGCCGTGTGGTCCCGGCATAGAATATCCCTTCTTCTTTATCTTGGTGGTCCCTTCTATTCCCGTGGGTGTCATAAGTGACGAATAACTGAGGGCTAGGAATGGTCAGTCTTTAACAAAAATACGAGAATTTCCAAATGAGGTAATCACGCTTTTAAGACAATTTACATAAATAAAATCAATTGCCATGTAAGCACATTACTTTTAGATAGCTGCATGTACCTAAGTATCATGTAAAAGAAGTAACCAAGTGGTTACTTCTTTTTTGTTGTATTTGCAACTAGCCTTTACTCGCGATTTCTTCCGCGTGACAAGGACCCTTTTCCATCTCATATAGTACATGTACACCAAATTTCATAATGATTGGTTAAGCCGTAAAGGGGCTATAAGGTAACAAACAAACTTTCACATTTATAATATTAATAAGAATTATTAGGACGAGATTTGTTTAAAATGTTTGAAAAATCATACGAAAATATGCAAAATTAGAATTCTCGTGCAAAACCAGGGCAAGCAGCTAGTAATAAATAGAAATAATTTATTTATATGTCTTCACAACTTGTATCTTTATAAATAATTGGAGTTTAAAGAAAAAAATGCCTGCACCAGGAGCTCCTACTCATACTATACAGACGTATAGTTTAGTTACTTTGCCTGTTTTTTTTTTTTTTACTTTATTATCATTTTTTAAGACATTAACACTAGTATCGCTAAAGCAGTAAGCTCTATATATCATTGCTACAGTTATATATCGGTTGACAAATATGTAAACATTTCTTATCCAGGCAACTTTGTTGTTATCTTGCCTCATAAATTCTTCATAAAACATTTTATAGTATACAAAAAAAAAGTGACTGATTTTCCTCAATGGACTGACACGTGTAAAACATTGGTACAAAAAGTATTGTTACATTCACTGCTATATACAGGATGATATTAAGATCGTTAGCATCCTTTGTAAGGAATGCTCTATCAGCGAAACTGAACACGAACATGGGTCGGTAAATAAATATTAAATTTGAACTCACATACTAAGATAATAGGTTGTCGTAAGAGCAGCGTCGTGATCGAATCACGAATGGGCAGCAGCGTCCCACTTAAAACGTCACCAAAACTTAACTGCGGTTGCCAACTCGCATGCCAAGCTTGGCAACTATCAGCAAACTCCCCAAGGGGGATGCCTATATCAGTAGTGGACGATTAACTCCTGATATGGTAATGACGATGACCAATACATTGTCTCCAAGTGTTAAGATTTGGAAAATTTATTTCTTATCTGAAAGGATATGTTTACAAATTGATTCCATAAAAACTTCATAAAATAACTAGTTTTGTCACAATTGAATTTTTTTTTTTGAGACAATAATATAGTTTTACAAATACATACGGCAGGGGGAAAAGGATTATTAGCAATTGAGTTTGACAGCCCCATTGCTAGCAATATACCTTATTAGGTCGACCTCCACGTGGTTCCCCCTAGAAACCATCGTGAGCAATTCTTGTTGAATTCGTCACGATGGGCTAACTGACCTGCTTCATCTTCACCTATCATCTCTCACTGGTGCCCCGCCGGTGTAAACCGATAGCGCGAGTGGGGTGGGGTTACCATTCCATTATCATCCATTTAAAAAAAAAATACATATGGCAAATGGCTTCGATACCATCCTGTGCAGTCACCGCCCACCACTTTCGTTTCCATAGCAATCTAGACATTAGATATAACGTAAAGGGTAACAAGCTAAAAGCCAGCATGAACATGACATGTGTCAATACCAAATATGAATAATATTTTTCATTCCGCAAAGGTCTAAAACCTTTGTAGGATGGGTGGTAACATTCTACTCATAAATACCGTCAAGTACGTTTTTTATTTAAGATTTAATATAATGAAATCATATTGCTGTCGGCGGTTTTCGGTATATTTTTTTATACAACTTAGAATGGCAAACAAGCTGACGGCCCACCTGATGGAAAGTGGTAACCGTCGCCTATAGACATGAGTAGTACCATGGGCGTAATAGAGTGTACGGTTTCGCCCACGATACCCCCCATGCGTTGCCATTCCTGAAGATTCAGGTGTTATTCCTCTGTACCCTGTAAATTCACTGCTGACAGGGTACCAATGAGGGATGATACGTAAGGACAATGTCAAGTCAGTTGGCCTTATTGTGACGATTATGAATTAACCATGATAATTTCCAAGGATGATTAAAAACGATAGTACATAATTTTTCCCTAAATTGCATATATGGGAGGAAGGGACTGTTAGTAATGGGAAATACCAGAGGGGGAGACTTTGTACAAAAGTCGTTTGCTTGGGTACCTCTGTCCCATTCGTGTTTCAACCATGAAGCAGTTGTGTTTGCACAACTGTGTTTCAGTTTGAAGGGTGGGATATCGCAGTAAATTTACAGGATACAGAGGAATAATACCTGAGTCCTCAGGGGTGGCAACGCATGAGGGGTATCATGGGCGAAACAGTATACTCTGTTATGTCCATGATACTGCACATGTCTATAGGCGACGGTTACCACATTCCATCAGATGGGCCGTCAGCTTGTTAACCATTCTAAGTTGTATAAAAAAAACTAACAGCCCCATTGCTAGTAATTTACCCTATCAAGTCAACCTGAACGCAGTGCCCCCTGAAAACCATTGTAGTTAATTACTGTTAAATTCATCACAATGGGCCAACAACATCACTACACGTTTTGGGAAACTGTAAGTGTAGTGAGAAATTTTCAAATAAATAAATAAATAAACTGACCTGCTTTATTCTCATCTATCATCCCTTTCCTGTGCACCGCTATTGTAAGGCAGATTCAACATTTAATTTTCAGCCATTAAAAAAGCTGTATGAAGGTTTGCAATATACTGTCACAATAAGAGTATAAATTATAAATGTTTCATGAAACGTTTACAGTAGGACCCACTTGATGCGCATAAATTGTGCCTTGTCGACCCTTGTAATAGAAAAATCTAGAGGTACAGCACCTGGTAATTTCACCGCTATAAATAAATGAGTAAAAAAGAAAAAGCAATTCTCATTCCATATTCCGCGAAATCGTAACGGACGTGCTACCTACATTAGTTTGATTAAGATAAACACCAACCTTTGTTGCCAGGCCGTCCTATAAGGCCCAAAACAAAGGAACCGTGCAATGACGACATCAAGCAGCGTACAAAAGTACAATTCTTACAAACGTCCGCGCGGTCACGGCCGTACGTTGCCTTAAAAGGGTTTATAATGACAAAGACTACTAGTATTACATTTACAAAATTTCTTTAAAATCAGTCGAGTTTCGGAGATTACCGTTAAGGAATATCGTGAATGTTTAACCATGGTGGACATCATGGCGGTCAGTGGATATATTCTGGCGACGCGGGCGAAGTCACCGGTAAAAACTAGTTGTTTATGTCTAAGTACGAATGTTCTTAACGCTCGAATATAGCTATATACTCTGATAGCCTGCCATCAGAGTTGCCAGATGAGAATTATAATGTTTACCTGAATTTCAAATATTATTTCTCCAAATTGATATGATTTCTAGGACTTTTACGAAAAGAACGACGAAAAGAAAATCAAAAAAGATCATTCCTTCTGTTTCTACTACTGTGCCTCTGTTATATACCTTCATTCATATATTTTATTGTACTTTTATAATTGACGTATAAAAGTACAATATTATTCGTTTTACAACTACAAAGATTATTATCCAAAATTTTCAGAAATTACCCATATTTTTATAAGATGAAAATCATCTTCAC